GGGAGGAGGAGAAGGAGGAAGAGGAGGAGGAGGAGGAGGAGACGAATAAGGGAGGAGAAGGGAAGGAGAAGTGACAGGGAGAGACCATCCCACAGAATAAGAAATAAGACAGAAGATACACTGTCGTTTCTGTTTGACCCAAAAAAGAAGAAGAAAAAAGGAAAAGAAAAATGAAAAAGCTTACCTCCCCTTTCCTATTTCCTTGCGGAAGGTAAACTCTGAAAATGATCGCCAGATGCCACTTGCAGAGTCTGCCAAAACGCCCTATGCGGAGGGAAGGAAGAACAATTTTCCATCACGGCAACGACCACACCACAGTTCTTAATCAAGAAGTGATGTGCTTTTCCATTTCCGGAACAAACAAACAAACAAACAAACAAACAAACAAACAAACAAACAAACAAACAAACAAACAAACAAACAAACAAACAAACAAACAGAAATTTAAAGGAAACCCTTCACATAAAGTCCGAAGATAAACAGACAGGCAGGTAGGTAGACAGACAAGCAGACACATACAGACAACCAGACATGCAGATTATAGCCGAAGATAAAGAGGCAGACAGGCAAGCAGACAGCAAGCAGACAGACACAGGCAGGCAGACAGACACACAGACCGACAGACAGACAGGCAGTCAGGCAGGCAGGCAGGCAGGCAGGCAGCGGACAAACAGCCAGACAAGCAGGCAGACAAGCAGACAGAGACAGGCACGCAGGCAGACAGACAGACAGACAGACAGACAGACAGCGTACAGACAGACAGACAGTAAGGCAGACAAGCAGGCAAGCAGGCAGGCAGACAGAGACAGGCAGGCAGACAGGCAGACAGGCAGACAGACCTACAGACGGACAGACAGTAAGGCAGACAGACCTACAGACGGACAGACAGTAAGGCAGACAGACAGACAGAAAGGCAGACCAGCAGGCAGGCAGACAGACAGGCACACAGACGGACAGGCAGGCAGACAGACAGGTAGACGATAACAAGCACACCATGAGTTGAGATGCAGCTTGGCACTGAGGCATGCGTAGAAGGTCCAGGAGACATACACACACATACACACAAGGAGGACGGACGAAAACTGTGATGGAGGCAAAGCCTGACGAGGAAGAGGGGGAGGACGAGGAGGAAGAGGAGGAAGAGGAGGAAGAGGAGGAAGAGGAGGAAGAGTAGGAAGAGGAGGAAGAGGAGGAAGAGGAGGAAGGGGAGGAGGAGGAGGAAGAGGAGGAGGAGCAGCAGCAGCTGGCACAGGACAAGGAGTACTACTGAGCGTGCTACAGTTGTTACTCGCTGTCCTGTGTCATGGATTAATCAATGGGTTGGTACCAATCAAGCCATTGATTAATCAATATCAATGTTTTTATCATAGTATGGGAAAAAAGAAGTCTAATCCATCTGATGAATCCAGATTAAATTTTGCTTTCTGATCGGTGCATGGATGAATAAATGCCCCCCAGATTGAATCATAATTATAGAGACAATAAAAAGAACCAGATTATCATTAAGTCGCGAGTTACCAACCAGTAATTAATTATTTAATATTTATATTATTTAATACAAAAAATAATGTCCTGACGTCATCAGCGACATGCAAAAAGAAACTTTTTAAAAGACAATTCTGCCGCATTCAATTTCAATTTCACTCAATTTGACTCAATTTGATTCAATCTTATCGAGTGACATTGACAACATAACAATACTCAACCATCAGCACACAAACATTTACCAATAGATTTTAATTTTCAAAATTTCAAATACTAGTCCAACTCATCAAATTGGTCAATAGATCGGCAATAGTCTAACGCATACTAGTCTAATGCATGCATGCATTGACATTACTAGGTGCATTGGATACAATGGAATTCAATGGATAGGAATATGGTATTCAGTACTATTCACCAAGTGATATTGATGGAAAAAATAAATAAATAAAAATGACAAAATTGATGGTGCATGGAGTTTCCCTTAATACAGGCCCTGCAGCTTTTAGAAGAAATCTTTGTGAAG